CACAACACCCCCATGTGGGGATCAACCTCAGGCTGCAAACCGCTGTTAAGGACAGCCACTAAAATAACTCCCAGCACCATTTCATACCTATTTTCTTCCTAATATTAACATTGCAGAGAAAGCAGCTCTAAAAGAAGGATTGGTTTCTCTGCCTCGCTTATCAGTGAAATTGTCAGCAAAGTCCTAATTGAGGAATCTTTATTTCTAGAAAGTGTCAGAGACAGAACTTGATGTTCACAGCTTGCGGAATTCACAGCACTGACAGAAAACTCGTCTTGAAACAGGAAAAATCAGATCGTGAATTGGTGGTTTATGATATTCTCTAGAATATATCACTCACCAGAAGAAAATGATGTTTCCTGTATGGTTCTAAATATATTTTATTATCTCACTTTCAAAGACCAAGTTAACATATCTGCCTGTACAATGTCCAACACTATATTGACCTAATTCTGATTTGCATTCCTGAATCCTACTCTGACCACTGAGTAACAGAGAAGGTGTATTCCACATCAGGCTCAAAGCACAAAAATCCCATTAAGTGCCTTAAAAACCAAATGAAATTAATGGTGAAAATCCACATAGTATTGCAGACTTCACAGCCAGCAGAAAGGAAATGAATTAAACAGATGTAACAGAGAAAAGGCAAATGGGATTCAGACACAAGATAAATCAAGGCAATCTTAGAGCCACGTTTGTAGACAGAGAAAAACACTCAAGGTACCCAACTTTTGTGCAGATTTGTTACACAAACCAGAGCAGCAGCAATGATTCCAACTAAATCTACTAAAATCCAGCTTCAGCACAAGGGGGCTCATAGAAAAAGAGGCTGGTTTTAGTCCCTACCCCATTCTTCACTTCAGGCTTGAAAATAAGTGTCTTGCTCCTCCTAGCAAGTCCCAATTACCATTGGGAGAGGCAGCATTGTTTGTCATTACCTATATTACATGTTGACCTGGAGCCAAACCAAGGGCATGTTAGACAATGAGCAGGGAAAGAGAAAGCTTCCCGAGCTCCAGACAAATGTTTAGGGAAAGCATCATCCTTATTTTCCCCCTGACAAACTGCAGCAAGGAGTGTGAGCACAATTAATGCTCACTTTGCATCTCCAAGCCGAGATTTTTTCCCAGAGCATGGTGAATACTTGCTGGAAAAGCACAAGTGACTCCATCTCAGCCTTCTTGTCTTTGTAAAAAGCTCTCCCAGGAGGTCTGCAGAGCACCAGGCATCAAAGCCTGACCTCCCAAATTGCAGTCCAGTTCCAATTTCAACCATAAGCCTTAACACACTCTTGCAGGCAGCTTAAATCTTCACAGCAAAATACCTCCAGCCACCCAACACATCAATCCTAAGGCTCGGGGACAAACTCATCTCATTAATTCCTTCACCATTATTGCTGCAGCATTTCTTTGGGATACCTTCCTCTGCAAGTTCTCTTGGCAGGCCATTTTTTCCTGTTCTTAAGGCTTATCTACAGCAGCTCCACCTCGTTCCTGCGCTAAGAACCGAGCCTAGGGCCGGCTGCTCTTTCATGTCGCATTAAGGGCTGAGAAGAAAGGCAAGGTGCGCTTCCCTCCAACGCTGCAAAAGCATTGTGGAGCCAGCCTGCCGAAATCCTCAGCTCACATCGGAGCGTGCCTGCAGGCCGGCTTTATCTGGGATGCTTCCCACAGCGCTCACATCCCCTGAGCCAGCCTGTGCCGCAGCCTCACGTTATCGATTCCGTAATTACCCTTTAAATCCTGCTACTGTTGCCAGTTACTACCCCTCTCCTGAGAAGTGCAAATGACTGTCAGGCTACAAAATCTGCCTTTCCGAGTTGAAACGGCTGAGAAATTGGAGCTGAGAACCAGATGGGGCTGTGTGGAAGAGACCGAAATTAAACATAAAAGAGAACTGTTTAACTGAGAGTGAAAGTTGTACTTGCTGCACTCCTCACACCCTGCTCCAATTAACAATCGCTGTGAATTAAGCCAGAAGTTGAAACACATTTGAAAATAAGATCTCCCAACATAACCAGCATCCAAAGTTGCTCCGCTGAAAATGGAGGGTTTTTTCCTTTTTTTTTTCCAAGCGTGTCTCTCAACAAAGGGAAATCAGGATCCTATTCAAACAATTTGTAATAATACAAAGGAGCCTGCTTTCAACTTCTCAATAAACATTCTGAAGGCTGCTCTGGTTTTTGTTTGATGTGCTAATTGCCTGAAAGCCATCAGCAGCTCCCATTCCCGCTCCTGCGGGTGTAATCCGGGATAGCGGGGCCGGTTCCGAACCTCAGCCCGGTACCTGTTACCCTCACCCCACACACAAAAGGTTCCCCCCATCACCTCAGGCAAACTTCCCGCACGCATCCTGGAACCCCCCAGGCCCGCAGGGACTCTCCGGGTGGCATTAACCCTTCCCGGTGGCATTAACCCTTCCCGGCAATAATCCCAGGCAGGAATTTGCGGGAAATGCTGCTCGCACCCCCCGCCGAGGGCGAGGCTGCAGCGGCCGCACACGGAGGGGAGAGGCTGAAACCCCCCCAAAAGGGTGTGGGGAGTGTCCCCCCATCAATGGATGAGGACCTCCAAAAATATGGGGTGGGAAGGAGGAGTCCCCATCAAATGAAGGGTGTGATGTGCCCCCCTAAATGGGATTGGGGAGGAGGTGTGTCCCCCAAATGGGGCATGGGGAAGAGGTGTGTCCCCCCAAATGGGATTGAGGAAATGATGTACACCCCGAAATGGGGAGTGTGGAGGAGGTGTGTCCCCCAAATGGGATTGAGGAAATGATGTACCCCCCGAAATGGGGAGTGTGGAGGAGGTGTGTCCCCCAAATGGGGCGTGGGGAAGAGGTGTGTCCCCCCAAGTGGGACTGGGGAGATGATGTACCCCCCCCCCCCCAAAATGGGGGGTGTGGAGGAGGTGTGTCCCCCAAATGGGATTGGAGAGGGGGTGTGACCCCCAAATGGGACTAGGGAGGGGGTGTGACCCCCAAATGCTGGGTGAGAAGGAGGAGTACCCATCAAATGAAGGGTGTGATGTAGTCCCCCAAATGGGATTGGGGAGATGATGGACCCCCCCAAATGAGGGGTGTGAAGGAGGTGTGTCCCCTAAATGGGGTGTGGAGGAGGTGTGTCCCCTAAAATGGGATTGGGGAGAAGGTGTGTCCCCCAAATGCGGGGTGGGAAGGAGGAGTCCCCATCAAATGATGTGCCCCCCCCAAATGCGATGGGGGAGATAATGTACCCCCGCCAAATGGGGGGTGTGGAGGAGGTGTGTCCCCCAAAAGGGGCGTGAGAAGGAGGTGTGCCCCCCCAAAATGGGATTGGGAAGGAGGTGTGCCTATGCAAAAGGTGCAGGAAGGAAGAGCTGTGCCCCCCAAATGGGATTAAGGAGACGTGTCGCCCCAAATGGGATTAAGGAGATGCGTCCCCTAAAAGGGGAGTGGGGAGAAGCCGTGCACGCTTCCCAAATGGGGGGTGGGAAGGAGATGTGACCCCCCCAAAATGGATTGAGGGGATTTGCATTCCCCCAAAAGGGTGTAGAAAGGAGACGTGCCCCCTAAATGGGGGTTGTAAGGAGGAGGTGTGCCCCCACAAAGGGGTGCGAGGAGGACGTGTGCTGCCCAAAGGGGATTGGAGAGGAGATGTGCCCCCGCAACAGGGTGTGGGTAGGAGGAGGTGTGCCCCCCAAATGGGACTGACGAGGAGATGTGCCCCCCAAAAGCGACTAGGGAGGTGTGCCCCCCCCAAAGAGAATGGGGAGAAGGTGTCCCCTTTAAAGGGTGTGGGGAGGACATGTACCCCCCCAAATTTGAGGGGCTGGGAGGAGATGTGCCCCCCAAAGAGGGTGTGAGGAGCAGATATACCCCCCCAAAGAGGGGCGATGCCACCCAGCCCCCCCTTCCCGAGGACAGGAGC